CATCAAAGTTGGAATGAAGATGATTATTGAGCTGGCGCATCACACCTATATGCACACAGCTTGTTTCATGGAGCTGTAGAGGTAACATTGCCGGTTGCAGAGGACGCAGTTGATGTGATGAAAAGGGCGTAAAATGGACTCGCCTAGTCTAGACGTGCCACTTGCATCTACATGGATGTACCGTTGTTGTCTTGGTTTCATATGGCTAAGTCTCGCGTCGACAACCTGCTCCGCGGGTTTGTATCACTATAGGGGCAATAAGCGGTCTGCATGAGCAATGAGGCGCCCATATGGCGGTTGACAGCACAGGGGGGATGTAGTTTTTATTAATGTAACGCCTTGAAAGTCTGCTCAGACCAAAAACCATCTGGTTGTGTGCAAGACTCGCGAATGAGGTCTCAAGTGAGGAAATGATTTGGCAAGTGACAACTAGTACCGTCACACCGTCACATTCATGCAAGCGTCTGTGTGACCTTTGGCAGCTCAATCTACGTGTCGATGACGAGCTTGGAAGAGTACAGTAGGACTGCTTGCATGGACGGCACTTTTCGTAGCGCCTCTCTTTAGATGTAAGCGCGGAGGCGTCAGGCTCATTACTTGTTTTACGAGGGTCTGGATCCGAGTAGCATCAAGCGGGAAAGGACAGAAGTAACTGACCGCCCCCTTGCTTTCTTGGACGCCTGTTTAATTTGTCACTTGAACCTGTGTGTTTCTTATGACATGTGGTAGAGCGGAGGACATCGAAAATTTCCACCCTGGCTTGGGGGGTTAAGATATAAAATGCAGCGCATCTTTGCAAGAAAGGTCGCATTCCAAACAGAATCATCACACTGTTTGCAAAAGCTTACATATCAATCTATATTGGCTTGTGCCCTCTTCATGCCCCATACTACTTTATCAGTTTCTGGATTCTCATTTCGCTAAACCACATGCGTCTGCCGACACGACACCATGGCTGCAGAAAATGCTCCGCGTCAGCACCCTCAATCTGTCCGACTGACTGTGCATTTTACTCTAAATAAGAAATCTGGCAAAATCCTGGGCAAAGGTGTCTATAGCACGAATCCCGAGGAAATGATCAGTCAGGCCCGCGGCATCCTCGCCGGGGTCCTGTCCAAGGGAAGTGTTGAGAACTTGAATTTCGAAATTGAGGAAGTCGGATTGAAAGGTGATGGGGTTTACTTTTACAACATTAAGGAGAACGGTTTACCCTCATTGGAGTATGACATAGATGAGGTTGTGTTTCTTGTGACATCGCACTCTATAATCTCCCAATAATCGAGACATCTACAGCCGGGGTTCCGGAAGGTTTTCTTCTTGGTAATTCTTTGATGGAGTATCGTCCTATTCCAATCTAGGTTGAGCAGCGAGAAGCAGAGAGACGCAACGTCATAAGACGCAGGAATGGAGTAGGCCTATTGATGGGAAATGTTTTGGGCTGTCTCGGGCTACAGATAGATGTTATCGGTACAAGTAAGTTGATCAATACATCTCATCACGTTGGACCACTCTCACTCTCCTGAGGCGTTGAACACCTCCGCTCTGATATGTGGTTACTTGTGATTATGTGTAGGCATGACTGGTCCGTGGGAGACGCCGATGAAGCCAAACAATTTTCTGCGAACGGGTATTGACCTGTCGAAGTGGCTTCACCGGCTTTCTCATACTGTCTCAAGATGTCGTATCATTGTAGCCCTGACTATAAACGCGTTATGTTTTGTGAAGTGAATTCTTTACCACTTTCAGTCTAAATTCATCGGCTCAGTTGAAACATGTAAGGAACGTCGGCAAATAACCTATCTGTATAGAATCATTTGTGCCACTTCGGCTGTCAAGTTGTCTTTCCCTCTGCAAATGTACCGGCATGGGAAAGACCTAACACACAGGATGTGTTCCGGTCGCAGGGGTTGGGACTGTAGCGAGGGAAGATGCGAAATTGCCTTACAAGTTACGTTGGTCACACCGCTTGACATAAATGCATCACAGGTTGCTAGCCTATGACATACCTGACATGCCCAAGGCCTAATACTGGCCCTTGCTTCATGCCACACACTCCTCGAGCAGTTTCGTACGGCTATCAGGGATAAAAGAGACGAAAGCCGTTTCCCTGCCTCTTATATTCTGGCAGGCGCTGATGAAGATAAATAGACTGCACTCCAGCTTACATGATTTAATGTCAAGCAACGAATGTAGTCACCAGAGACAGAGAGGATGAAGAATAATCCACAGTTACAAACGGACAGCCGCGCAGCTAGCCATGGAAAAGAGCTACAAGAGAAGGATTTATATTTGCCTTTGGAAAATAGTGAGTATTGGTCGTCCTTAACAAGCGCAATCATAGTCTCTCATGACTCAGGAACGCACTCTTGCTACAAATAGGGCAAGCTATTGTGTTAAAACAGACAAACACAAGGGTTCAGTCGATGCTAATATTTGTGCTTTTGCTTTAGTCGGTAGAATTATGAAGAAGGCCCTACCGGACAATGCGAAGTTTTCCAAGGAGGCCAAGGTGTGTGTCCAGCAATGCGTTAGCGAATTCATTTCATTTATTACTTCTGAGGGTGAGTCGATTGGGAACCTGCTCGCAAGGCGGCAGTGATCACCATGCCAGCTAAGTGATACCATTTACTTCCGATAGCAAGCTTACTAAACGACTCTTGGCGACCAGCTTGCGAAAAGGCCGTAGCCGAGAAACGAAAGGCTGTGAATGCAGAAGATATTCTGTCCGCAATGAGGTCACTCGGCTTCGATAACTACGCGGAGGTTTTAGGAATCTATCTTTCTGGGTACCGAGAGAGAACTTCCAGTGGCCACATAATGCCAAATGAGGCCGGCAACGGAGGCGCGCTTGGGCAAGAGCTTGCCTGTGATGAAGGCAGCGTCGAGCCCAAATACGTGTCTAGACGACATGTCGACGATGATTCTATCACTGATTTTTCCCACCCAGAATAATCCATGCTACAACAGAATGGTGGGAAAGATGGACTCAGATCTTGTGATATTGAGCAATTCATCACCCGCAGGCGTTGCAACTGCTTTCGTTTGCTTCAACATCAACATTTTGAGAAATTTAGTCGGTGGATTAATTTTCAGAGTCACATGGATCAAGTTTTGGATGCTATTATAAAGGGACCTGTTGTGGTTTGAGACTAGGTGGCTTAATCCAGATAGATGCCTTCAATCGCTTCGAAATCTTTGGCAACCTCGAATGCAACACACGAGCTTGTGGCAGTTGAATTATGATGCCATCTGATGGTCTCACATCTGCAAACACTACATCTTCAATCCCTTACTGGTGGGACTGCGATTGTCAGTAATGACCTTATCCGTTACCTGTCAGTCCGGCCACCAGAGTGCCGGTTCCTGCTAAGAAAGTCGCGCACTTTCCAGCCAGTACTTACTGGTGATCTGTGTTCAGAACAATGCCCAAGTTTTGCTTTCAAGATACGAATTCCCACGGCCAGTTACCTGTGCTGAACTTCGTGTGTCTGGAGCTAACCCCCAAGGACTTTGTGAGATTGGGCAAGGGTATCTAGAAGGTATGGTCCCCTACGGTGGCACATTAGCTAAGCTCCGCAAAACACCGCCAAATCAATTTTCCGATTTCACGTTTTGCAAAGTGCGGGGTAATATGTATGCCAGGCAAAAAATTTCCCCTCGCGAAAAAATTTTCTCCTTGCACAAATATTCTTCTTGAATTACTTCCAAAGTAATTCCAAATTAATTCTTTAAGAAGCCTTTAGCTCAAATAAATTCTCATTGTGCGCAACCACTATCATGCCTTCTATCATCCCGTTTGATCAGTCCCCGGCCTATAAGGCGTACGAAACAGGCACCCGCCCAGCTGAGGCGAAGCTCCCACTTGTGGGATACAACATGGTATTATTTCTGAACTATTCTTAAACCAATTCTTATTGTTTATATACTCACTTATATAGGCGTCTGAAGTTGTAATTATTCCCGGTGAATTATTTTGTCGCTTCATTTCTGATGGGAAACTTTGTGACCAGGTAATATTACTTTGAAACTAGTTGAGATCTGATTCTTATTTACTTTTACAGAGTGAAAAATTTTCGTCTGAGGCATCTCTCCGCAATCATTACATGATTGACCATGCTCAGTATCTTGATCGTAAGCTGTCTGACTCTGACCGACGTTTACTGAATGGGCAGATCACGCGTGAGTAATTACGAATGGAATTGGAATTAATTCACAAGAACTTACCAAATGATAGGCTAGTACCATGAACTCCTTATCGGTGACCGCCCACGATGGATTCCTCAGTTGACGATCGAGATTGGTCGTTACCCTCAATTTGCGACGCCAAGTGGTTTCCCTCCTCCATCACGTACTTTTGTATTTGTCCCAAACAAACCAATGGTAAGTACTTTGGAATTAATTTTGAATCAATTCTATCAGATTTTCTAATTACTCTTAGATTGCTGGTACTCCCCCGATCCATCCCATTCATGGTACTTGGGATCGTGATGCAATGCGACAGAGAATTGGCTTGAAAGAAGACCAGCAGTGTGGTCGCTGTCTTGTGCATAATCGCGGTAAGTGTGTATTGGGAACACGTTCAGAAACAATTCTGATTTACTTCTACTAGTCTGTCCACCTCGCTGGCCTAGTTGGGAATGCGCCGCTTGGGCTCCCTTTTGCGTGCTGGAATGTGGTGATCTCAAGAGAATTTATCTGGGTGGTACAAGCACCAGATGCGAACAAGTCATGGAAAATAAGAGAATTGCTTTGACACTCAATTCCAATTGAATGAGAATTAGTTCCAACTTGATACACGGTCGCATATTGAACGCACGTGAAGTGAGCTGGGACTGAGTCCATTGTTATTGTTTTTGTTATTGTCCCCAGCCACCGCCTTTTCATATATCATCCCCCTCCCACTCTTCTCCCTCTCTCTCCCTTCTCTTCCTTGCATCGTAGAACTGGTTCATTTTTCTCCTTGAATTGATTCCAAAACAGTCCCGACACGCGAAAACAAAATGTCTCGTGGATACAAAGCTACGCCGCAGTACCAGCGATACCTCAATCTGGGGGAGCGGCTGCCCGACGCCCTCGTCCCCGAGTTGAAATACAATGCCGTGAGTTTGCGCTCGGTGGAAATGATTCCAATTGCAACTTGAACTGATTCATGAATACTTCTAGGATGGTGAGCCGATTGTGTTCCCTGGCGAACTTTTTTGTCGCTTTCAAGTCAATAGCATGCTATGTAATCGTGTAAGAAAACAACTCGACACAATTGCGAATTGATTCTCATTCATTTCATACAGAAAACTCGATACGCGTCGGAATCGTCCCTGAGGAACCACTACGTACGGTTCCATGAAGTAGAACCAGAGAAGCGCCGCCCTGGAGAGAATAAAGGGAAATTGGATAATGACATGGCTCGTGAGTCGCGACTTGACATGGTTTGGAACTGATTCAAAGATGATTGACATTTATTTCGCACAGGCTAGTACCTGGATTATGTCAATGGCCAAGTGCCTGAGTGGACGCCTCGCAAACCCGCGCGACGAGGCGCAACTCCTCCTGAAGCAATTCCCATTCCCGACCTCGCGCCCCCGACCGCTGCCAGCATCGCCGCCGCCGCCGCTGCCACTGCTCGTGCTGATGCTCTGGTCGCTGCCGCCACTGCACAAGCAGCAACAACAGCTACTCTCGAAGACACGATGGTACGAACTGTTTGTGAAACGTACGAGAAGTGGATTTGAACTGATTCCAAGAGACAGAACACTGCTGGCTATCCCTCCTCGGATACTTCGATGGTATGAACTATTTGAAATGGAATTGGGAAATGGAAATAAACTGATTCAAGCAGGATTCTGAATCGCCGGTTCCCTCGACCTCTGTCTCGATGGCCTCCTCGCCCACCGCCTCGCGTCATGATGACAGCGACGATGATGTGTCGCTTCCCTCTATCTCGGGCCTCGTTGAAGAGGCTGACCACCGCTCTGCCTCTTCTGACATGGAGGACGATGAAATGGTATGGAACTACTTGTCAAGTGTTTATGAACTGGTTCAGAACTAATTCTAACTTGGAACAGTTTGACATGGAAGAGGTTGGCTTGGAAGATTTACCTGGTGCATCGCCAAATGATGCACCCTTTGCTACGGAGCCGCCGCGCCATGAAAATGGCAAATTCAAGATTGCTGAAATGCGTCGCATGGCTGGTCTTGACAACGGGTTCGGCTGCCGTCACTGTGCGGCTATTGATCGTCGTAAGTGCATTCAATTTGGATTGGAATCATTTCGAAATTGATTCGTGCTAATTGGGACAGAATGTCCTCCCACTATTCCTGATCGGTCTTGTGACATTTGGGAACTCTTTTACACGTGCGTGTACACGAACGAGTAGGATGATTGCTTTGCTTGTTTATTTTTTAGTTACTTGCTTTACTTGTTTGTTTTTAGTTACTTGAATTGATTCGCATGCATTTTGCATTTGCGACTTGAACTGATTCACGTTTATTTCCCATGTGTAGTACGAATGAGGTTGTACGATGTGTATGCATTCTGTATTTGCGACTTGAACTGATTCACATTTATTTCCCATGTGTAGTACGAATGAGGTTGAATGACGTGAAGCATTTTACATCTGTAACTTGAACTAATTCATATTCATTTCTTCTACAGATATAGAGGGCCCAGCAGCTCATACCCGTGGCTTAGAAAGACGGCGACCTGTTCAGAAGAAACGAAAGCGCTAAATACTCTCAATTTCCTCATCTTGGAAGTCTTGGATTTGTGATTGAAGGTCCTGCAGTGAATGCGAGAATAGAATATCGGAGTGTACACAGTATGCCTCCTTTGGGTCAGAAGATTGGAGACAGAATGAGAATTATGTCGACTATGCCGAATCCACCCTCGAACACTGTGACACTGTGGAAAGTGTCTTGCCTCAGTCTAACGCCCGCGAAGCGACAGCAGATCCTTCTCAGGCACAGTGGAAAGCTCCAAAGCGAGTCCACACAACAGAGTCCGATGACCTCCTTCTGCGGCTTCGTGAGGAAGGCCATTCATGTATTAGGCACTGTCTTGCAACGAAATAACGGTGTACATAACGACTGTATTCCCAGGCAATTACATTCGCCCATTCTTTGGCTCAGGTCCCTGGTTGCCACTTAGGCTGCCCAAAGGTCCTAACGCCTGTGCCCAACGCCGAGCAGGGGTATGACAGGATGCATGCTAGCTGAATAAATGGACGATAGCACCCACTCCCATTCTGTTGGAACACCAGACCTCACACTACACCACCCGCAGCAAAACGGAATCTGCGAACTGCAGGACAATCTACTGATCAGCTCCCTTGAAGATAACTCAGAGTCCCACTCACTACATCGAAGGTGACCTCCCGTGCCTAGTATGTCGATTGCACAGGAACCATGTGCTGCATGCAGCTGGACCGCGGAGCGTGAGGCTTCCTGTGGCTATCAAAGCAATGTCAAAGTTTTCTATGCCGTCGGTGACCGGGCCGCTTGGGAAGTTGGATCGCAGAGAATTATTAAAGACAGGTCCAGCCACCCCCCGAATTTAGAGGCTTGGAATCTTCGATTCATACGCGAAAACACTTCCATACCTATTCCTGTTGTGATTGATGACTGGATTGAACAGGATCGTCAGTTCCTGATCACGAAACGCATACCGGGCACACCCCTCAGTGAGGTTTGGTCCACCTTGTCTGAAAAGGATAAAGACAGTTACGCCAAGCAGACAGTTGGATATCTTCATCAACTTCGGAGTCTCTGCTTAACGGAAATACAATGTTTAAACGCACAGCCCGTATACTCGGCATTTCTATTCCGGGACGGTTATGCCCTCCCCCATGGCCCTTTAGCCTCTAACGACGAACTCTGGAATGAAATGGCCAAGGGCTTGACGAATGTACCACAAGACATTCAGGACTGTCTGAAACAACGCATGCCGGCGGCTCAGCCGTATACCTTTACTCATGGCGACCTGACTTCAAAAAACATTATTGTTCAAGACGGCAGGGTTACGGGAATCGTCGACTGGGAAGGTAGTGGATACTTTCCAGTTTGGTGGGAATACGCCTCTACTGCGATCGTCGATAGTCAAGATGATCATTCATGGAAGGATCGATTGCGCGGCTACATGAAAAATTGTGAAAAGGGGTTACTGTTTTGGCGCTGTTATTATAATCTCTCAAGATGGCCAAATGTCGATGAGAAGATGCTACAATGGCTTCAATGTCTAGACGAGGAAATAGGTACGAACCACACGGCGTGATAAAGGCTTTTACAATACATAGAGATATGTTAATGGAGTCAAAAGACAACTACAGATATTGGTGTCGTAATTAGTTCAGCGCAAGGTACACATCCAGTTGCTATGGGCCAAAGCTGAACGGGTTTACCTCACCTCGTTCCCTCTCCACAATTCTTTTTGTTTCAGATCATAAGGAGGTATGTGTATATGGTTATAGCTTTTCAATTCGAAGATATCACTGATTGTTGCTACCTAGAGTTGTGTTGAACAACCGCATCCTCCAGCTTCACTTTGTTTTAATTCTGCATATTGAAATGCCGCGCTTTGCCTATACAAACTGCCCACATCACTATTACTCCGGCTGACACATCACTCTTGGCAAATCAGCCCCGCAAAATTCGCACGTATCTCTTTTCGTAACATTGCCTTTACCACACTTCGGGCAGTTCATCTTAGCGTTGTCGCTGACTTCTGATTCTGCGAACTTGAATGCATCATGATTAGCGGCTATGCCTTTGAGTTATTCAACAGCTGATTTGAGAAGGGAACGTACGAGCAATTTCTGCCTAGGCGATAGTGAGGGTGTCCTAAACTTTGGTGTTTTTGGGGGGGGGGGGGGGGGGGTTGGGGACTTTCACATCATGGGTTGT